CTTCTTGATGCTCAGGTTGAACGTCTGGGGAACACCATCGCTGAGCTCAGGCCACATGTGGTTTGGGTACAAGGCGGCGGTAGGGGTTGTGATGCACTCCCACAGCTGCGGAGAACTGCAGAGTGGCAGATTGAGGCCGGTGGCCTGTTTGTCTATGAAGAGAATATCCGCGATGCCTTTTGGGAAACCTCGTTTTGTCAGTCTCTTATTGTTGCGTACCCCCACTCGTTTCAGGAAGAAAATGATTCACGAGTTCTTCGGGTTGGTCATCGCATCGAAAACCTTGGTCCACCTCAAGAGGTTGTAGAACATGAAGTCCAGGTAGCATCACATGAACGGGAACCCAATCAAGCCCGACATCCTTCAGGAGCCCAGACGAATGGCATCAAGTTCGAGGGCCGGGTTCCTCGGCACGTTCAAGCCGCGCTTGGCAGGCTTCATCAGAACCTTGGCCATCCTAGTGTGCAAGATATGACAAGACACTTGCGGTTTGCGGGGGCCGAACCTGAGATCTTGAAGGCTTGCAAGTCACTTCGTTGTGAAGTTTGCGAGAGAAATCGTCACACTTCAGCCCCTCGTCCAGCCTCGTTGCCGTCGTTGCTCGACATGAATCAGTTGGTCAGCATCGATGTCTTTAACATCTTTGACACCGATCGTGTAAGACATGAGGTGTTGTCGGTGATTGGCCATGCGACCACTTTCCAGCTATGTTGTCGACTTGAGGGTCATGGTGGCGAGGACTTTGCTAGGCAGTTCACTCAGTTGTGGGGCAACACTTTCGGGTCTCCAGGGACGATTTCGGCCGACCTTGAGACAGGACTTCAGAGTGGGATGATGAGATATGCCGAGTTCCACGGCTGCCGTGTCCGTTCACCTGCTGGACAGGCCCATTGGCAGCAGGGTGTCGTAGAAAGGCACGGGCTGTGGTTTCAGGAGATCTTGAAGCGGGTCATAGACGAGAAAAGTGTCACTGCCGAGGACATTGATCTTGCTATTCAAGCTGTCAACAGCGCGAAAAATGAATTAAGGCGCAAGCATGGATTTTCACCGAGCCAGGCCGTTTTCGGCCGTGATCCTCGTGCCCGCGAGGAGCTTTGTTCTGGCAACGACGAGGAGAGGTTCATTGAGTTGATGACCCATGACAGACAGCGCCAACGTGAAGTTGGCATCCGCACCTCGGCAAGAACGGCGTTTTTCAGGACGCAGTTAGATTCGAAGCTGCGGCGCTCGCTCCTTCAGCGTGCCAGGGTCAAACGTGGCGGGTACAAGATCGGTGAGCTGGTGTGTTTCTGCCGGATTGAGAAGGTTGCTACAAAACGGGGCCAATGGAGAGGACCAGGTACCATCATAGGATCCGAAGGGGGCAATTGGTGGGTTTCATTCTCGGGCAGGTGTCATCTGGTTGCCGAAGAACATCTTCGTCCCTCCACGGCTGAGGAAGTAGGAGATCTTCTGAACATGCGCATCGCAAGGGATGACTTGGAACGACTCTTGAACCTCGATCCCGATGACCCCTCCACCTACCAGGAGAACTGGGATCAAGACAATGGGGAAGCCGATGATGAAGGTGATGTAGGTGATCCCGAACAAGATCCACAACATGAGGCTGACATGGACTTTCAGTTTGACTTGGATGGTGAGCAGGGCCCGATTGATGTTGAGTTTCTAGATGCGGAGCTTGACACATCAGGAGCCGCAGACCATCGACGAGAACTTCTTAATCCTTCGGCGCCTCCACCGGTGCCCAAACGGGTGCGACGTAAGGGGCCAGGACAGGTTCACTCAGTCAACATGTTGAAACGATGCCTCACCGAAAGATCGCTTGCCAAACAATACGAGAAGGAATTGCCGTGGCGAGTTATCCCAGAAAGCGAACATCAAGCCTTCAAAGAAGCTGAAGATCGCCAATTCCAAGAGCATCTTGATCATGAAGCATTAGAACCACTCAGTGTGGCGGAGAGCAGGGAGGTCAGACAGCGTGTTCATCCCAGTAGAATCCTGACATCAAGATTTGCATATCGTGATAAAAACTGGGCTAGAAGACGGGTGGACAAGGAGCTTCCTTGGCGCCACAAAGCAAGACTAGTCATAGGAGGCCATCGAGACCCAGACGTCGAGACTTTGCAGACCGATGCCCCGACGATCAATCGTTTGACGGTGCTCATCCTTTTGCAACTTGTCTCAAGTAGAAGGGCTTCGCATCAGTGGCAGGCTTCGGCCGGCGATATCACTGCTGCCTTTCTGAATGGGGACAGGCTTGATCGTGAGTTGTACTTGGCTCAACCTCGAACGGGACTGAAGAATCTCCATCCTGAACAACTTCTGCGAATCACCAAAGGTGTTTTTGGCCTCCCAGATTCCCCTCGTAAATGGTGGCGTAGACTAAAGGATGACATTCTAGGGCTCACGATCAACATCCGAGAGAACGATTACAAGTTGCTACAGAATCCTCTTGATCCTTGTCTTTTTCAGCTTGTACGAGCAACAGAAGCAGAGTGTGATCCTGTCGGCTACATCGGGGTTCATGTCGACGACCTCTTGGTGGTTGCCGATCCTGTGGTGAGTGAGGCAATCCGTGGTGCTCTTTCACGCATCTTTCCGATAGG